TCTTTGGCTTCAATAGTACGCACCCCTCCCGTCGCATATGAAGGAGGTTTGTACATCTTAGCCCTTTGACAAATATCACAGAACGGGTTCTTCGGCTGATGCGACATCATATGATGCAGCGACTTAGCTTCAGCTTTCAGGACTTCTATACCCCGTTTTCTCTTCTTCCCATCGCCCTCGGAATCCCCATCTGGGGCGACAGCGGCTTCGTCAGAAGCGCGAGCTGCACCCGGATCATCCTTAGGCATGTCTTCCAGATCAGAACCTTCCTCCTCGAGGATGCGATTGAGGTAATCCATATCGTCTTCGTCATCATGACCACTTCCTTTCGATGTAGGCGGAGGATCAGGTTCTTTGGGTGGTTCAACTTTCTTTTCTTTTTCAGGCTTACCCTTGGTCTTGACCTTGGGCTTTGCACGTAGTTCAACCCCTTTCTCAACTGGAGGTGTTCCGGCAACAAGGTCATACAAGGACGTTTCCTCATCACCGGGTTCGATCAAAGACGGAGCTGAGACCTTGGATGGCACGTTGAAACCATACTCTTTAAGTCTCGCAAGCTGTGTAGCATCAAGCTTGTGCACAGCACGATTCACGTATGATGTGATGCTCCATCTGTCACCCTTCCAGGGACGGACACAGTGGTACGTCTTGGGATCAAACGTAATCATACGATGCTTGGACTTGTGAACTTTGCCTTTCAGCTTACTGCCGTCAGGCGTGCGAACAGAAGCATAATCTTTGTTCTCCCTGCTGATTTCTTCATCATGAATCCAAAGTTCGCCTCCCTCGAAGTCACCCAAACACATGGTGTTGTTCTTATGTTCACGATGATTGTGAGCATCTTTGTGCACCTTGACGCTGGACCCGTGATTAATGCACAGTGAAGAGCTGGGACCCTTGGCACCATGATGTTTCAGATACTCATTGAGGAACTTCATTAGCTCCTTGTTTTGGTGACTGCGGTTAGTGATGCCTTGCATCCCGCCGTGCGAGAAGGCTCCGAGCACAACATACTCGGACTTCTTAGAGGACTTTGGGTCCTTGGCGATGATAGATCTCTGCTTCTTAGAGGCCTTGAAAGCTACCTTGTTTAACAAGGAGTAACATGATGCATGTGAGAAGTCGCCAGACTCTCGAAGCTTCTTTGCGATAGCCTCGGATGATTCTTCCGGCGCTGGCCTTCCGGCCGCGGAGGGGCTTTCAATGATTTGCGTCTTACCAGGACCGGACGAGGCCCGTCGCGCAGGGACGCTGATGTTTTCATGCCAGGACTTCAAGTACGGCACGTTATCTTTAACGTCCATATAGACCTTCTTCCCTTCGGGAGTCTTAAGGTACGGTCGTGAATTAGCCCTCCAGATGAAATCGAATCCCTCTTCCATGCATCGCTGTCCTATTGAAAGGACAGATGGGGTATCAGGAAGAACATATGGTTTGACCTCAATCCCAATGGAGTCAACAGAAACATCACACTGTTCTGAAGCGGAGTTTGGCCCATTTGCAGTCATCATTTGAATGGGCGCAGGTGACTCATAGGCCTTAGCCTGCCCAAGCTCCCGCTGGGCGATGAGATCTTGCGCACTGCCAGTATCAGCAATCCATTCGATGCACAGACATGGCGATTTGCTGCTGGCGGGTGCGGCACAGTTGAACTTCAAACCAACCGGAATGCAATGCTTGCATCCAAACTCAGTGTTGCACTTGAACTTACACTGCGGTCTACAGCCCTTGACCTCATCACTGACAACAGCTTGCAACATCTTAGCGGTTACCTGAGCTTCCTTCACGGAATCAGGATCGGCTTTCCAATGGCTGTTGGCGGGATATACTTGGCTATACTCCCTTGGCTTATTGCGATCATCGAGGGGGTAGAGGCCATTCCCTTTCGGAATTTGGTACGTGAAACTTTCAGTAGTGTCGTTGAATGACACTGCGGCCAGTGCGACATGATAGTGCGGGGTGCAAACATCGACATTGCTCAACATATCCTTCCGGAACGTGAATGCATCGGCTTGGGCTGCTGAGCCAGCCAACATTGCTCCCAATAAGCAAACTGCAGCGGGAACGGAGGGCGCACCACCCTTGCGACCTGAGCCACGCGAACCCTTCGAGCCTTGGCTAGACTTACTTGATTTTCGGCTGCCGCTCTTTGAAGAGCTCTTGGAGCTAGATCTGGAGCCTTTGCGGCCCTTACCACTTTTCTTCTCTTTCTTCTTGTGCTTCTTTTCCTTCTTCTCGCCGCTGCTCGCTCGTGCACCTGAGCTGCCCGGGGCGGCTGCAGCAGGTTGGCCGTTGTGGAGGAAGTTACACTTGTCTCCACGATTGCAAACTCCTTGCTTAAAGAACTTGCATTCCTGCTTTTTGCCTTTACCTTTCCCTCCCGGGCTAGGGGTTCTAGTAGGCGTACGACCTCCGGCAGGAGTGTGAGAACGCCCCCTAGGTTGTTGGTGCTTGTACGGGCAATTGTCTCTCTTGCAACTTCCGGTCTTGACCCAATCAACGCAATACCCTTTGGGAATACGCTTAGGGGCCGGTGCGGCAGCAGGCGCAGTAGGTACACCTGTTTGCCGAGCAATGCGCTCGCGGTTCTTCTGCAATCGCTTGCGTTTCAAATGATTAGCAACCGCGTTATACAGGAACTGATAGGACCTTTGCTCGCTACCTTCCAGTGCGCGTTCATAGACCTGGATGTCGTGATCGATATCCTTGCACTTCTTCACCTGTCTATGGAACAGGGGTTCAAGCACGCTGTTGTCTGGAGGATTGGGAATCCCTGATAGCACCGTATCCCAATTTCTAATGAAGGTGGTGAGGTTTTCGTTGACCATGATGCAATTCATCAGGTCCTCCATGTCATACACAGAGCCATGGAGTGCATTGGTAGCAAAGTGGTTGTGAAGACGACACAGCAACTGTCTTCCTCTCACCAGCCTTCCGGCGTGAGCTTCGGTCTCCTTGAAGGTATCAGTCTGCCTAGCGAAATCACCCTCAAGGATGTTGGTGAGCCCAGAAAGGATCTTGGCATCCAAGGTGCTAAACCCCTCCGGGTCGCGAAGCTCTTTCTCGTCGGCGTCCTTCTCCCAGACCTTACTGAGCCAGGCATGAGCCTTGTCAGGCGAATCCGATGCAGCGACAATGGCCTCACGGACCCTTATGCGCCAGTTTCTATACTGCTCAGGCTGGGGAAACTTGGGAAACACGACTTTCTCAGCCTCTTTAACCTTGGGTTTGGTACTCGAGGAACCCTTTTCTTCATCATCATCCTCTTTATCAGACTTCTTAGATTTCACCATCTTCTTGAGCATCTTCAGAAGAATCTTGTTGTCAATGGAAGAAGACGATGAATCCGACGACTCATCTTTCTTGTGCTTTTTGGATTTCTTGCTCTTTTTCTCCTTCTTACCGCTCTTTTCAGGCGCTTCGAGTGGTTCGCCAGGAGGAGTATTGATCGGAATGGGTCCTAGACCAGGAGGCCCGGCCTGTTCCGGTTCATTGCCCAATGGGTCAGCTTTGGCTTCCGCCAAGCGTGTTCTTAGCTCGGCATTGTCCTTTTGCAGCATCTCCATGTTGAGGGCTTGAATCCTCATCATCTCTTGCATCTCACCTTTGAGGCGAGAGAGCTCGTTGTCACGAGCTGACACGTCGGCTTGATTAGCCTGCAACCTTCGATTAGCCTCGGTTTCCACCTGGGCGACAACATTTGCAGCTGTCTGTTCAGCGGATAGGAGGCGCTGCCTTAGCTGCTCAGCTTCAGCAGCGGCTGCTTCAGCCTCAATTTGGTATTGGGCTACGGCCTGCCGACCAGCATGGATGTTTTGATTAGCCTGTTCTTCAAAGGCTCTGGCTTTCGACTGCAACTGTGCATGCTCAAGCCTCAGCTGAGCGACTTGACTCATGGCACCTGTTTCCAAAGCGAGAATTTGCTCCCTGTTTTCACTTTGGATGTTGCGAACGGCTTCAGCGTGTCTTGCATTTGCTGTGTCCATAATCAATGCAGGATCCGCACTGATCAGAACGTTTTGCTGATGCTGATACAACTGATTCACGACAGTTGGAACGGAGGTGTGCGATGGAGGCACCGGAGAATAGCCTACGACTGTGGGTGAGGGCTGATGTGTCAGCGACGCTCGTGATGGCACGTATGCTGGTTGAGGTCCAAGAGACCCAACATGCGAACGTAGCGTCTGCTCAGTGAGAGCTACCCGACCCTCCCGGGCGGTGACAACCGGAAGCTCTGCGCCCAGATTCGATCTCGAGCGGGCGGACTCCGTATCGTCATCACCTAGTTCGGAGATAGGCACACCTGCAGGATTTGTGGGAGCTGTGGTGTCCATTGCACTACGAAGAGCTATACAAGCTACGGCTGATAACCTATTGTTAACAGCAGAAAGCACGGACTGTTTTCACACTTGAGCCATACGGTAGCGTAGGTAAGACTGTAGGACAAACGTATGAACAGGATAAAAACAGGATTCTTGTGTTTTGGGGATGCTACGAACATCTACGAACACGAGTCCTTCGCTGAAGTGACACTGATGCTCCCCACTACACTTGACCTCCTTGCAAACCTTCTCCGTCAGTCGCTGACTACAGTACCCCTGCCCCCAACCCCCGACCCCAAAGGTTATGATGGTTGGGGTTGATAGCGTGGTTGGACCAGCGGCTTCCGAAGCTAGGGCAGGTCTGCCGAGGAGGGCCTGTCTAGCAGCACAATCAAAAAAAGCAGAAACCACCAAATCTTGAACTACCTGAAGGAGCCAAAAACTCGAGAAATTCTTGAAACCTGATCGAAACCGATGGAGAACCTCGCGTCTTTGTTTCTCTGACAGGCTATGAACGAAGGACCGAAGGCATTGAAATTCATGCCACTGTCTTTAGACGGTCTGTTCAAGATTTCAGGTTGGCTCAGACTCATTCGAGGTTACAGTTGCACAAGCTCACAGCACGAAAGCACACGCACTGCGGGCATCGTGGGCGTTGCATTTGTTCTGTCAAGGCTCTGCCAGAACCTTGCTGCCAGCCTCCTTGAAAAGTGCCAGCGCATCGCCTCGCAATCGGAACTCCTCTCGCGGAATTTGCGCCAGAGCGATACCCTGCACGTCTGGACTTTCGAGAAGCTGGGCCATGACGTACCTTTCGAGCCAGGCAGTCCGAATCCCGATCCTGAAGACTTTGTCCCCCTCGCGCGCCGCGCTTCAGACATGACTCTAGGATGCTCAGTACGATGTGATACAATCTCATCGATTGGGACACTTTGGAGGCCCGAAGCATTATGAGAAACACTCTCTCGCTGGGATAGGTGTTAGCCCATCAGCATGTGCTCCACAAGCAGGGCATGTGTGTCGGCCTCACAAACTGCACTTCGTTCCTGAAGTTGGTTTTCCAAAGGCCGGAGAAATCAATCCTGACACGTTTCTACAAGTTGGGCAGAGTTCGGACCCGACCCGTCAACGAAGCCTTCTGAGATTGGTGAGCTTTGTGTGAGAAGGACCGAGGGACGCTGACACCAGCGAGTCCACGTCGGCCGCTTCGTTACCGACGACAAACACGGGCCGTCTGCTGTCAACGCCGAAGGCTGGACGTGCCATCCTGCGTGTGGCAAATGCCCAGGCCGAAAGTATGTCCGCATGGTCCGGGGGGTTAGGGGTCAGGGCTCCTGCTGCAGAACCTGGCCGCGCAGCTGCTAGCAGCGCACGCCAAAGCGCCCCGAAAGCCCAAGGACAGCTGCAATGCCACCCGAGTCCGCCAGGTCCACGACGTCTGGCGATTCTGATGGTTCAGGCCTGTCAGTCATCTCATGCAGTCACAGCATCCGTGAAGAAGCCTTCGATTACAAGAGTGCCTGCACGGCCTGATCTGCAGGACAGCCGTGGGAAGGCACGGCACTCCGGCAGGAAAAAAGCACGAGCCATGCCAAGCTGGTACCCAAGCCGAAAGCCGGCGAGCAAAGAAATAGCCGGTGCAAGCGGGAGTTCTGAACGTTTGCTGGTCTTGGGCTGCAGACGCCATGCCAGATGCACGCCAAGCCCATGATCCAACGAAAGTCTCATCTCCTAGGAAAAGACCAGATTCAGATGTTGCTTCAGTTGCATGAGCGACGATTCAGGTGCCAACTCACCATGAGCAGACTCGATGTGAACGCCACGAAAAAGGTCCCTGCCATGGCCATGTCGTGCGAAAGGCACGTCATGTGCCATGCTGTTGCTGCGCCCTGCCTAGGAACTCGGCGAAATATGTAGCAAAGGGCAGCACATACTCGGAAAGCTGTACTGTCATGACCTCAGCGATGCGATTCGACCTAGCAGGCCTACATGGCCTGCTCATCCCTTGAGCTTCTGACCTCGTTACCGGATAGGCCCGCGGCGGGGGTTCCGCCTCATTGCGTAGCTGCACAAGCCGGAGTCTGAATGCAAAACGCATAACTGAGCTTCCGTCGGGGCTTTGCTGCTGCAAAGCCCTAGTCGAAACGTCTTGAGAACAGACCAGCAACACCGAAACATTCTCAGCCCTGACGGCCTCTACAGCCGCAATGGCATGAGGCCCAGCCTGGGCACTGTCCGAGAGTCGTACACAGCGGAATTCAACTTAAGGGCAACATCTAAGCGGCTCGCAGCTACAGAATGCCAGCTACACCACGGGAAGCAGTGAGCTGGACTGCGGTCGATTCCAACGAGACTCATGCGGTCGGACATGACCAGGTCTTTTTGAAAAGGAGCTCGTCCTGGCTCTAGCCCAAGCCCTATAAAGCACTCCTGTAATTCGCATTTTGATGCTGCGCTCTGCACTCACGCTCGTCAGCAGACTTAACGCCACGCTAACGAGTTCACGATTGTTCCAGTGCTGTTCCCACTAGGACGGTCTCCGTCCGATATCTCGTAACCATGGCCATGTCTCACCACTCTGACCCCGCCCGGGATGGCAGTAGCACGTGCAGAAGCTGTTCAGGCTGTGCCACTTTCAGGCCATGTGTTACATCAGCAGGCGTAAGCCGCGTGTAGGCCGGAGTGCGCGTTCAAAGGACATGCTTGAACAAATCTGCCACCTGCACTTCGTCTTGAGGTAGCAAGCCACCACCCGAATTTGTTCGATGCCACCATCACCATGACCTTGACCATGTTGGCCACCGTCGCCAACGAGGGCTGGCACCTTAACCCAACTCTCGTGCGCCGCCCTTGAGGGCAATCAAGTTGAAGGTGGCTTTCGGCAATGGTCTAGCTCAATCCAGGCCGTAATCGTGCCCGCAGGCCAAGCCTGCTCAACATCTGCAATCATGAGACCGTCATTCCAATATCACTGCACGAAAATCGAGACATCGTATCTGCGAATCGCAAGGTGTGCCTGTGGTCTTTGCCTGCAGTGATCGGGGCAGGAGCTCCAGGAACACGAAGTAAAGACCTTCCAATCGTGACACATTATATATGCAAGGCGACAGCGTACGCGCACACACATACACGCACTGACTGAGACTGTGTGACTGAGTCTCTAAGTATGCGGCTCTGGGGCGCTCGAAAGCACCACGGCAGGGCGTGCTGGCCGTGGCTTGGGGCCTTTCGACCGTCTACCATTCTCCTGTCGCTTATCGTCCGGTGGTGACCTGACGGCCACCTCTGAAAAATTGGCGAAGTGTGTAGCTGCCTTACACAACACAAACTGGACTTTGGGAGACCTTTTCATCTCACCTGCCAGTGTCGCAATCGCGTGGCTTCCTTCTCTGGAAGTGTGTGTGTCAGCCCTGGTGGTGGTGCTTTGGCTACTCTGGCGCTCGGGCAAGTTCATCCTCTTGCTGAGCTCCAAATACCGTGCATCCCCCACAGCCAATCGTAGTGCTCGATTGGCGAGAGCATCGTCTCGCAGAAGGTGCTGCGAGGCCAAGAAGGCCTCTTCTGCTTCTTTGGCTGCCTTCGGGTTGGCATTCGCGCATGCACTTAGAAAGGCACGCTCGCAGAAGAAATCTCGCGGTCGCAACTTGGCCGCAGCGTCAAGAATCTCCGAAAGCTGCTTATAATCGCCAAACCTCGCCAAGATCTTCGACACAGCTCGATAGCTGCCGAGGGTTGGCCGCAAATTGGCAGCCCGAAGTCTTGCCCAGGCCTCTAGAGCCAGGTCCTTGTCAAGCACAAAAGCCGCCGAGTTCATCAGCACATTGAAGGAGATAACATCGGGCATCACTCCAACGAACTCTAGTCTCCCAAGCCAGGCTTCGATCCGCCGAGGATCTGTTCTGACCCATGCCTGCAGCAAACTGTTCGAACCAACTATTTCCACTTCGGCTCCACGAGCAACCAATCGTAAGAACCAGAGATCTGCTGACAAAGGCTGCTGCACGTTGTCACAAGCCGTCATCATTGCATTGATTGTCAATGAGCTTGGTGATATGTTTGCATCTCTCATGGAATCTATCATTTTTTCTGCCTCTTTGAGATCTCCAGCCATAGCGCAGGTCCGAGCAAGCGTGGTGAAAGTGACAACAGTCTTTGCAATGCCGCGTTTTTCCATCTCCTTTAAGATTCCTCGGCTTCGTTGGACATCACCCACCTGGGCACACGCCGCTAGCATTGAGGCAAATGCGCGAGCATCTAGTCCTTCACCCGCACTGCTTGCACGCTCCAGCCAGAGGTGTGCCCGCGACACGTCTGGCACACGTCCAGCGGCCTTGATTAGTGATCCAAAGCTCCGAATATCCGGCATTTGTCTTCCACGCACCATGTCATTGAACTTGCCCTCTGCCTTTGCTGGCTGTCGAGCAGCCGCATAGATGTTCATGAACGTGTTGAAATGGACGATATTAGGCCGCATATTCCAACTAACCATTTTGGTCCACATGCGTTCTGCTACCTGCACCCTGTGTCGCTTCTCGCACGAACTCAAAATCGTACCGAAGGTCACCTCGTTCGGCTCGCAGTCACGACGGCGCATGTTGTCCAGCCATTCCTGCGACTACGCGCAATGAGCTAACTGGTACACGGGGCGCGCTAGCGAAACTCGCTGACAAGATCGTTTGGCATGCTTCGCGTGTCCTCGGCCAGTTTGGTATTTCCAAGACCGGCGAGCCCAGCAATGACAGATGTGTACCTGGAAGTCTGATGCATTTCGCCGCTGCTTCAAAGAGCTCAAGCTCAGTCAAGTCGAAACGGCACAATGGATCTGAAAGCAGTCCTATGGGCTCTCCAAGGAAAAGAGTCTGAAGTCAGATCGGCCCTGAAAGGCTTGAACCGTCGGATGTGTGCTTGTATTGAAGTTGTCGACTTACTGCAAGCCTTCGTCTCACCTCGGAGTCTAACAGTCCCCATAGCATGTCTTCCAGGCTGGAGGTCCTGCGCAACAACGGCTGTGAACTGACCGCTGTCTTTGCCGCAGTGCGGCCGACATGCCCACATAGCTACAGCAGCAGCACTGCTTAAGAAATCACTGGTTTAAGAATTTGAGCCCCTCGGACAGCCGTGCGCTAAAAAACATATATACAAAACATGTGCACATTCAAAGCAATAGATCCAGGCTACCCTGGACTCGGCGCATTTTGCTCTTTCTCATTTTGTCTTCGCTGGTGTTGTTCGTGCAAAAAAAATCAGAGAAACTGAGGAAGTGTTCAAAAGCTCGGCGCCAAATCCTTACAAAGGAAACCAAGGAATGAGAGCACAGGAGGATTCGAGCCCACAGCACTTTCCATGCCAGCTCATGTGCTTATCCACTCGTGCATGGCATATTAAGTAGCCCTTTTAGGCAAGGCCAAAACCGATTGAAATAAGAAATCGAGCCCCTCGTTTTAAGAAAACGAGCCCCTCAATTTGTGGTGGTTTCTTTTCCTGTATGGCAATGCCGTATTTAAGCCCTCATTAAGCCCTTACAAAGCCTCCAGAGCCTTCCAAAGCTGTTACGAAGGCCTTAAGCCCTTGTTAGGCAAGCCCAGAACCCACTAAAAGAAGAAATCGAGCCCATCGTTTTTTAAATTTAAGAAAACGAGCCCCTCAATTTCTCATTTTGGTGGTTTCTTTTCCTATATGGCCCTTACAAAGCCTCCGGACTCGATTTCTTATTTTAGTGGGTTCTGGGCTCGCCCAATAAGGGCTTAATAAGGCCTGAATAACAGCTTTGGAAGGCTCTGGAGGCTTGTAGGGCTTAAATAAGGCTTTGCCATACAAGAAAAGAAACCACCAAAATTTTGAGGGCTCTAGAGGCTTTATAAGGACTTAATACGGGCTTAAGTAAGGCTTTGCCCTATAGGAAAAGAGACCACCGAGATGAGAAATTGAGGGGCTCGATTCCTTATTTTAGTGGGTTCTGGGCTTGCCTAATAAGGGCTTCATAAGGCCTTAATAATAGCTTTGGAGGGCTCTGGAGGCTTTGTAAGGGCTTAGCAAGGGCTTAAATCAAGCTTTGCCATGTAGGAAAAAACCACCAACATAATTTGATTTATGGCTTTTTTTCGCTGCCGTTGCAAATTAAGAATTTTGGGTTAAGACATCCAGGGCACCCTCAAATCCCGAAACGTTTTCTTACTAAAAAACGTGCGCTTCGAAAACAAGAAATCGAGCCCCCCCCTCAGGAGAAATTAACGGTGTCTTAACCCGCGCTGTCGCTGTAGTGTCCCCGTGTCACTTTTCCCGAACCTCGTATGGCACTTAGCGAACTGGGCTTGGACTGGCGTTTGTCGTCATTTGTCGTCTTTGGCCATCTCCTAACATCTTGATTTATCATCACCAGCTGCAGAAGGTCAGCGTTGTAGCCAGTTCAGTCTTGGTATTGCTTCTGCTGATTTCAGCAGCTTGCAAAACCTCTTGAACTGTGAATTAACACTTCCGAAACATGTCATCACCGCAGGACGGAACCGGAAAGGTTGGTTTGAATCCGCCAAGAACTGCGCAGCAGGTGATGCCAATGCTAAGAATCACTTGACACTGAAGTAGCAAGTCGCGGACTCGACCACCCGAAGCGAGGACGCGACACAAAAGAACTTGCGCGGAAGCTAGGGTTAGGGTGACGACACGCTAGTGCCTAACGGTGGCCCAAAGCAGCCTTTCTTGCATGTGCTCGCCAGTGGGAGCGTTCATTTTTCGAGTGCAGTCTCGAGTGCAGACGGCAACACGTTTCGGCCTGTCCTCCGAAAGTCACAAGGCTGGGCATCCTCCTCCTTCATTCCTTTCGCGTGATGAACCCGACTGTTCACGCTCTTGAGTGCCGGGGTGTCCAAAAACCCTCCTGCTCATCCCACGACAATCACCAGAAGAAAACCATAGGAAACCTCAGCCTACCATCATGTCTGCAGTATTCAATGAAAGCTGCAGCGGGCACGTGATGGTGTCTGGGCGCAGTTCTTGTCCTTGGTGAAGGCGGCTTCAGATGACAGGTTGCCTTCTAATCTGCTCCGAGACTCGTTTTCAGGCTGTACTGAGGCCTCCGCGACGCATTTCAGTCATTGTCTTTACGGCTGTCCGCATCTCCCCTGCCTGGCACAAGTTGCTGTCTGAGACTCTGCGAGGTTTCAGGAGTGATGGCTCATGTAAAAACGTGCAGCACTGCCTGAGCACATGCATTGATAAGAATGTTGTAGCTGGTCTTGTTGGGCAGCACTGCCGAGCCCCTCGCTGGAACAAAACGATCGATGCGCTCTGCCGCTCTGCCACAGGTACGCAGATTTGCGAGAAAGATTCTAGAGCTTCTGTCGTGCATGTAGCATCAGGCCATTCGCTACCCAGCTGCTTCACGCTGTGAAGACTTGACGGCCTCATCGTATCGAATGTCGCCACTGCAGCTTTGAGATCGCCAGCCTCATCTATGACAAAAAACGACATCCCATCTGGGCGTACTGAAAGGCTTGGCGTTGCACTTTGCCGTAAGCATCAACCATGCTGTTGAAGAGCGCCGTGCTTTGTAGGCCATCCTGCCAACGTACGAGCAGAGCGCATGAACTCATCTTGAGACACTCCGGCAAGGAAAGACTCTCGTCACCACACGGGTAGGTTCTGCGTGCATGCGGCGGGTCGACAGCCACAACTCAGAGACTTTGTCTGAGTCTTGGATGGCTTGTATGTGCAATATGTACATTTCGGCCAGGAGGCCAGTTCAACATCCATGGGATTCAGAATTTATGCCATGGCTTGATTTCATCATCCTCCTCTTGCTCCTCAACATTGATGCCCAAGGCTCCTGCACATACGATGCTGCAAACCGTTGCGTTGGCATCGCGCTAAGGGTGTCGCATCGAAGCGCAGCAGTGGTCCTTTCTGGGGATAGAACTCACGGAGTGGTCCCAAATCCTCACGGCCTGGGCTCTTTGAAAGCGTGACAGCCTTTGGACATCCTGCTCGCAAGCCTCCCAAGCCTATCTTCGCTACAAGAACCATAACTTTGACAACATTCCAATTCTCAGAACAGAGCAGACTTTCAAGGGGTCCATCTGCAGGACCACAGCAGCAGATTCTGCGACCGCCATGTCCGCAAAGCATTGTTTGCCTGCCTGCCAGGACCGACAAAGAAGGCAACTTTGTGTTTTGGGCACGGCTTTGTGCTTTCCTTACACGTCCTTAGTATAATTATAACTCGTTCAGTAGCGATCTTGTTGCTGCCTTCCGAATTGCTGAAAGCTCTGCACAGAACTTGCTGCCAGTTCATGCATGAACGAATATGTGCTTCCAATTCCTCTGCACAGAATGCAAGCATGACCGTGAGGAGCACGCTTGCCTGTGTTGTCTGTCGCACCCGACATATCCGATTGAAACTAGAACACGATCAGCTTCAATTCGCTGCAATATCACGGTGTTCACTTCGCCCCTTGATCATGCCAAGTGAAAGCCACATCCAGAGGCTCTGCCTGCATGCCCTGGAGCAGCCCAGTGCCAGCAGCAAGCATGTCTCGAACGGCCAGCAACGCCACGATCCTGCCCGTTTCAAGGCACACGCGTGGCAATGACTGCAAGCCATTGGAATGCTTGGGCAAATCACAGCAACCCGAGACGGAAGGTCTGCCAAACGCAAACGCCACAACCGAAGCCATTGCCGTCTGCTGCCCACACTCCCGCTGCTGCCACATGTATGAATCGCTCGCGTCAAGAACCCGAACTCTTAACGGCTCATGCGCACCGTTCGGCCTCATTTGAGAAAGGGTGTTGGTGTAAGAAGATGGCCTGTCCTCGGAAGGATTCTGAGAAGAAAATCGAAAAGGCCCACATCCAAAAATGCCGAGACTCTGTGAGGCCACGGGCGTAGGCATCGTAAAGCCTTCAAAAAAAGGACGACGGAGCCACTACGGAGACTCCCAGGACCATTGACGGCTAAGGCACATCCAGGCGGACAAAACGGGATCGGCATCTCCTCAGAACAACGCCACGAGCGTGCTTCCATTCATGCCATGATGCCATCAAGCTCTCCTCGATCTCCAATGCCCTGCGCTACAGCCTTCGGAGTCTTCAGAGAAGAGACTGCATCCTGCACGAAGGGAGGCACAGCGCTCCTGCGCCTGTGTCCAGAGAGCCGGAGGACAGCGCTCCTGAGCGGCTTCTTACGACAACACTTCTCAGCTTCGCTCTGCCTTTGCGACTCCTCCTTGAGAGCGGCGGCAAGATCCAACATAGACGCAACCTCAAAGCTGAGAGAAATACTAAACCAAGTAGGCCGACTTGCTGATACCAGACAGAAAGAACGAGCCTACGCGGTGACTGATGAGACGACGCGTAGAACCATCTATCAAAGTAGCCGTTGTTGGTACTGACTTTGCTGCGAGACTGCTCAATCGCAAGGACGGTTCATGTTTTTTGGTTCGGACGGCTGCAATTTAGAGTCTGGCAGCGACTTATTGCTTGGATTGGGGTGCTTGCATCTTGCATTGTCCAGCCCAAGGAACATGGACATATGAGACATGGTCACGGTCGGGGTTGGATGCGTGATATTAATGCGGCCAAACTGTTCGACAGTGGAGGTCCAAACTCGAGTCTCTGCAATCTCCGCGGACAGACAATTCTGCCCCAGCATCTGGGTGTGTCAAGGCTTGACCCGTTCGACGAACTACGATTGAACTGCACAGTGGGGAATGGAAGGGGGGGAATGGCTTGGGACAATCGCGACCACCCGATGCGTACACCCCCCAGACAATTAAATTGTCGAAGCCAAAGCTTTCTACATGGAACAAACCAAATTCTGTGCAGCAGTAGTAGTAGTAGCAGTAGCAGTAGCAGTAGCAGTAGGAGTAGTAGTAGTAGTAGTAGCAGTAGTAGTAGTAGTAGCAGTAGTAGTAGTAGTGGTAGTAGTGGTAGTAGTAGTAGTAGTGGTAGTAGTGGTAGTAGTGGTAGTAGTGGTAGTAGTAGGAGTAGCACTAATTAGCAGCAGCAGCAGCAGCGGCAAAATCTGTCGTGATGCTTGGATGCGCAAGATCATGACAAGGCATGGACAGTAGACGAACGATGGACACAACGTGCACGCCATATGAGTTCTCTACCGCCTCCACTAGCTCTCTGAGGTTGGCTTCGGAGTTCAGTGGTTGGCAACAAGTGTAGTTAGAGTCAGAGGGGGCGAAGCGGCAGAGGACCAGGGGCGCTAAGCGGGGTGCAGGTGCACAGAGCGAAAAGCCAGCTGGGCCAGAGGGTCGGGATAGTCAAGTTTCGGAACATGTGGCATTACCTCCTGCAGGAATACACCAAGGAACTCAGAACATCCCAAAGATTGTCAAAAAGGTAGCTCAAGTTGCGGAACCCTTTCTGCACGGCGTTGCATGAGCAGTTGCAGCCGAATCTGTGAAGTTCCGCGTGTTATTTCGCCCTTGTAGCTTTGGTTCGGAAAACGGAGTCTTCGGCTTGCTATCGGGTGGGGACACTCGATAGCGATGAAGAACGGTGAAAGATGCTGAAACAAGCGCTACGCTAACGACGTGTTAGCCAAAATCCTACTAGGGTGCAGTGGCTCCTTTAGAATGCGCCCGGCCGAGCACACCGCCCCGAAACCGGTGCCGGTGCCGGGGTGCGCACTTCTGCGTCCACCCCAAAGCAACCGCCCGGTGGGGCGGGTGACGGCCGTATATAACGGTCAATGAATCAAAATCTCCAGGGCGGAGTGGGCGGGAACTTGAAAAGAGGCGATCGGGCCAAATGCTGTTCGGCCGATCGCTTACGCTTGTTCCTACACGCACACGTGCGTTACACAACAAGCGCTACGCTAACGACGTGTTTTAGCCAAAATCCTACTAGGGTGCAGTGGCTCCTTTTTGAATGGTCGAGTCGCATAGAATGCGCCCGGCCGAGCACACCGCCCCGAAACCGGTGCCGGTGCCGGGGTGCGCACTTCTGCGTCCGCCCGGCGCACCCACCGCCCACAAGGCGCCGGCACCATCACCAAGAAGCAAGGTCAAGAGTCAAGAAGCCTCTCAGGAGCCTCGTGGCAGGCGTTGTCGATGTCGGTCGCCGCCCGCCCTCAGCCTTGACGACGCCGAAGTCGTAGAACACCTGGCCCTCGAGGAGCAGCACGAACCCCCAACCGTTCTGCCACCGGGCCGAGCGAGCACGTCGCCGGCTGCAGGTGGCCCACCTTCTTACGCAGGTCGCCCTCCAAAAAAAGGCGTCCGCATAAAGTACCGGGAGCTGTGTCGTGACTGTATACCCGGCACGGGACGACCCGCGGCTGAGCTGACGACACCAGCCGACGAAGAGCCATGAGGGCGGACCGGAGCCCCACCGACAGGGAGTCGTCGGAGTTCGCAGCGGTGTCCGCCGCCCTACAGTAGAGGGGCTTGATGGCCGCCCACCCGGTCCAGCCGAACATCGACTAGCTGAAGAACGTCAACCGGCCCGCCAGCTTGGCGGCGACGTCGGCTTCAGAGCGTCGTGTTCCAAGGCGTCGTCTATCTGCCGAAAAATCTTCGCCACCCGGTCGGCGGTGGGGCTGAGCTCGACGCCCTCCGGGGCGATGCGGACCGAGACGCCCTGGACGATGTGCTCCTTGGCTGGCGGCTGGGCCTTGGACGGCTTAGACTGGAGACCAAGCAGGGCGAAGAAGTCGGCCAAGGCGAAGTGGGCGGACTCGGCGCAGGTCTCGTCCTCCACGCCGTTGAAGTCGTCCACGAAGTGCCCGAAGAGGACGAGGAGCAAGGCCCTGGCTGGTGCGAGCGTCCGCCCCACGCTTGGCGGTGTAGCCGTGAAGCTGGGAGGTGAAGAAATTCTGGAGGTCCTGGCCTGGAGCATGGCTTGGCGATGGTAGTGCCACGGCGCAAAATGGCGGTTCCCCGCCATCCAGCATCGCCACTCCAACAAGGGCGAACCAACCACAGGGTCCGTCGAGACCTTTGCCCAGTCGACGCTGAGCCACCACAACCGAGGTCGGGAGACCCCCGTGCGTCCGAAATGATGGCGGCGTCAGGCTGGGACATGACGACGTTTTTTGTAGGGTCGGGTCAGCTTCGCCTCGCCCAGCAATTCCTCAGCCCCTCTGCACCACCCAGTTGCACGCCCGGTCGACTTCCCATGAGACGGCGGCGTCCTTGCCGCCCTTGGGATCCTGCTGGCGCTCTTTGGCGCCTTTGCGGCTGCCTTTGGCGCCCTTCTTCCCCTGACGGAAGCGCCCGGCGGGCAGAACGCCCCAAAGGGCAGCGGCAAGGTCGTGTCAGGAGGCGCCTTGGGCGTGGCCGTCTCGAGGCCGAGAAGGTAGCCCGCCTCCTGCTCCCTCCAGTACTGCCGGGATCGACCGAAGCCGACGCCCCGGACGGCGCAAGCCAATCCGCTGTCGGGGTCACGCCCGAAGGGGCGGGCGAAGTCGCCAAGGGAGCCGGTGAGGGCGATGTGGTAGCCGACAACGCCGTGCTCGGTGGCGGCAAAGTCCCCGAAGGCGAAGGTGGAGACGACATGGGCGGCATAGGCGGGCCCGCTGCCGGTTGGGCCGCCGAACATGCCGCAATAAGGCGGGTCAACTCGCCCGCCGACAGGGCACCAACCGCCGCGGCGAGCTCATCGTCGAGCGCCCCGGAGACGAAATTGGAGATGAAGACGTGGGCCTCTGTCTGAGTGCCGGCGTCGACACCGCCGAAGGCGGGCGGAGCGCCCGGCGTGATGGGCGTGATGAAGCCTGGCGTAGGCAACAAGCCCGGAGCCACGATGACCTCTTCCTCCTCCTCGCCCGAATGGGCGGCGTCCAATGCCTCAGCCGTAGGAGCCGATGTCGATGTAGGACCAGGCGGGGCCCAGTCCAGGCCCGCCGCCGCAGCGAAGTCAGCCGCGGCTTGGGCCTCGGCGGCCGCCCGAGCGACGGCATCGGCGAAGGCGGCAGATCCAGTCGACATGACCAGAACGACGAGAGGCGAAAGGACAGGAGGAACTTGAAAAGAGGCGATCGGGCCAAATGCTGTTCGGCCGATCGCTTACGCTTGTTCCTACACGCACACGTGCGTTACACAACAAAAAACAGCATGGATGTCTTGGTTCTATGCTGTACAAGACGACCCTCTTCTAACCCTTTGCTTACAGGAGCCCTTTCTCAGGCTGGTACCGAAGAAAAGCATGCCCGACAGAACCTGAGGGCCGGCTGTTTCAGAACTCGGTGGCGACTCCCTCTAACTGAGTATACAGCTTGTGGCTGGCAAGGTCCTGTCACGAACATGGGATGTACCGGATCGCACAAGACACCAAAGCAACCACAGCAGCCTTGTCGGCTGCCAGAGCTTCGGCGATGAGCACCTTAAACTATCCTTACACTGCTACAAGTAACACGTGCAACACCCCTCTTGCGAAGGAAAGTACCAGGCTTTGCACCTGTGCCGTTGCCAAACCCTGCGAAAGGGCCACCACCTCAGCCACTCGCTCTGCGAACACCATGTAAAAGAAGCGGAGGTGTACGTACAGCTGCACTGGTCTGACAGGTCGATTGCAGGCGGTGAAGTTTTCGAAGTGTATGCGCCCCACTGCTCGTCTTGATTGAAAACCCTGCCACCTGGTTGGGCTATTTGCGGTCAGGAACGAGAGCGACACTGAGATGGTCATGTGTCTCCGTGTCAGTCTCTTGGAACATCGGAAAGCGTGCAATACACGGATCCGAGCTGGCAGCTTCCTGTGAATCCGTGCGGGTAGATTCAAGTGGATTATGCAGGCGAAGCCTGGACTTTCTGATGAACACTGTCTGACTTCTGTCGAGTCAACAGTTGGGTGCTCAAGCTTGGCTTGGTTCAGTGGGAGCACACACCGAAAGAAGCAGCCAGCAGCCTGCCGCTGCTGGCTTCTGTTGCGGGCAGGTCAGCTGGCCTTCAAATTGGGTCTTGGCATATTTAGGCGATCTTTCATCCGTTGGCATGTCACATGTGAGCAAGTTGAACCAGATTTCCGAACTGCTGTCACCAGAACAGACAAACCCTTGGTGAACATTTGCACAGGCGGAATCCTCCCGTCAAAGCCAAGGAGGAAGCTGTGCAATCGTAGCAGGTGGAACTGCAGAAGTGCCCAAGGCAACGGCAATTTCGCAATCAAAGGCGTATTCCTCCACAGCTCTTCAACTGGCAAGCTGAAACACAGGCTAACTGAACCTTTTTATGCTCGAAATTCGGCTCCTTGTCCGCCTCCGTCTTGATAGCGCTGACGTGGGCCTGATCTCGAAAGGATGCACTTCGAATAGAGAACAGAGCATCCACAGAGTCCCTTTAGGCATTCATCGAACGGCCTTCATCGCTTCTTCTGCTGTTGCCAGTGACAAAGCCTAGCAGATCTCACGCGGCATAGACAATCTAAGCACCTCACCCTTCTGTTCAAGCTGCGATCTCTCCTTTCCTCAGCTGGCCTTAGGGAACAAACGCTCGGTGAAGGCAAGGCTTTTCGACGTCTGAGGGGCATGCTTCTCGCTGCAGCAAGCGGACCTATCGCTTGGCGCTACAAGCGAAAAAGGTGGCGGGGAGCAAGACTCGAGAAACAGAAGCACAGACAGAGGTAGCGAGCGAGTGACGGTGACAAATACTCAGAAGCCATGAGAAGGAGAAGGGGAATGGCACAGGAGGGAGTCGAGGACAAGGGAATCGAGAGGGAGCAAAGAACGCATTTAGAGTCAGAGTATCTGCAGGAAAGTCATCGACGAAGCCCGGCCTGCCAAGCGACACCTGTGCCTGTGGCCGTGCACCTGTGGGAAGACTCTCACGGGGGTCTTCCCCCCGCATTGCATGGCTGAAAGATGCTGAGAGGCTGGGAAACTGGCCCAATGGCTCTTCTGACAGCTCTGCGAACAGTACGTAGAAGCTCGGCACTTGGAGCAGAAAAAGACGGCCCTGGCACGGGCGCGAAGTTCAACACCCCATTCTCAAGATTGACCCTCTTCCACGCAAAATGCTGATTACAGTCTCCTGGAGTTTCGAGACACAGATAGCAAGGTGGAGCATGCGAGGCCTCCGGCCACAGAAGTCGCAGAGGCTGCGAGGCCTCAGGGGGCGGAAGATGCAGAAGGTAAGCTGGCTCGGGATGCAAAGTGCAGCCCAAGCGCGCTTTATTTGCGATGTCCTTGAATTCCTGGAACGTCATGGACGTTTGTGCACAAGCTATTTCAGACCATACTGTGGTGACTTAGCACTGGATGTCCTCAACATGGGCTTCCTTCTCCGGTTCGACCGCAGCTTCGGTAGTCCCTGAACTCAACACTGCAGTGCTACCAGTACGTAAAGTTGGGCATACCTTCAACCTTCAATGTAGACTGCCTGGCCACTGAACCACCAGCTCGCCACAGCGCCGCAGAAATCGGCACTGGCAGGTTTGCTCTGGCTCAGGGCTTATCAAGGCTTCATTGGCTTCACTTTGGCTTCACTGGCGTCACGTCGGAGCAGGACCTGCCTTGGCATCAGCTATGCGAAGCGGCTGTGCTTCTTCTGGCAGACGAATAAGACACCATCTTGACTTCCAGCACAGACGCACGGCGTCTTCGGCGAGATCAACTGTTCCAGCGTTGTTGTGAACCTGGATGACCAGCTTCCACGTCACGCTTTGCGCACTCTGCTGCGATGTCAGCTGCCAGAGAGGCAACTCTTTTGTCTCGCAGGATCTTTCAGGACTCTTGTTTTGGCAGTCTCGCATCCTGCATAGCGGGGTCTTGCCACCTAGACTTCTCGTCACCTTCCAGATAGAGTACTGACTGCCTGGAAGCGAAGCTTTCAGCAACTCAGTTCCAGTCGCACAGAGCTCATTTCATCAAACTTAAATCTCCTGTTACATTGACGTTCGGTCTGAGAAGTGCCAGCTAGTGTTGACTGCTACGTTTTATATTGAATGCTCGGGGGGCCCGAATGCTGCGGGCAAGGTGCATGAATCTGCATGCCCAACGGCAAGAAAGACACGAGACAAACGTGGGCAGCTGATTGCAGCCGGTTGCAGCAGGGTCCTGAACTGTCTTTTGCAGCCAGTTTTCAGCCTGCTCTGAGCAACAGCCAATGCGACCGATGGAGAGTGCAACCTTCACATGCCTGTGCGCGGTCGTTGCTTGCCAGATATGCACCCATCACCTTTCGCTGGATCCATGGAGTCAGAGCAAACATGCTTCGTTCGCGTGAGCTACCGACAGCTGCATGGGAGTGTGCGTCCGGCTGCAGTCCTACACCGCAGGTCTGTTGCTCTTGTTCGCCCTTCACAGTGCGTTTGTAGCCCAAGTTCAAAACGAGTGTGCATGACTAGATCGAGCCCTGCGAAGCACTGCCTGCAGAGGTCATTTGATGGAACCACCTCGCGGCAATCTGCGAGGCGCCAGCCTGACGGGCTGGCGCAATCTCTATCAGCTGCGGCAATCAGACACCGGAGCAACCACGGCCGAAAAGCCGAGTCGGGCCTCTCACTCCTACCCCCCTCAGACAGCCCGGCAGGACATGCGAGTCTAGTGAGGGATGTGAGGGTCAAATTTCCGGCAGCGAGGGACAACTGGCTCTGGGCTCTGGCTGGAGACCGCAAAGTCACGACACCCGGGATTCCTCATTCCCCGTACTCGTTGTCAAGCTGTTTGTTGGTACAGGTCGCCCAGCCAAGAGCAAGGTACATAACACAAACGCAAGGAGCGAATCAGATTTGGTTCTTCTCTCCATTGCACTGCTGACGTGCTTTGTCAGACAGCAATTGGACTCGTGGTTTCATCACGGACTCGTGAATGAAGGAAATGCCAGCGCCTGATTAAGCAATCTGTAACACAGAGGTTCGAAGCACACCGACATGCCATCCGCCAATGCCACACTCAGACCACCAGCAAGCACCGGAACCAGCCACGAGATGTTAGTTCAACGGTCAACAGCAACGCTGCCTGGGAGGCTGCCGAAATCTGCCAAACCGCCCCGACCGGCCAGCGCAAGTGTCCCACGGTTGAAGCTGCAGCTCCTCTGTTCGTGGATGAGTGCCTCAACCGCTAGTTGGTCCATCTAGATACGCGCACAAGTCTCGTGCAAGAAAGCGAGGCTCTCACACCAAACTCGTAGCAGTATGGACAGTATGGCGGCGGTCTGTAATCGCTTTCTTCAACTCATGCCGCCTTTGCCGCTACGGACAAGGCCGTGTTGTAGATGACGGTATCTTTGCGAACCTCGGTCGACCCCGAGAGTGCACGCGGTCGACTGATGCGTGATTCTGCTGAACCTCTACAGTACAGCGACTTGGCTCGAAGCACTCTGGTTCTGCATATCCGCGAGCACATTCGAAGCACCTGGAGGTTCAGAACCCAAAGACCAGGCACCCACGGTGGTAAAGCGAAGCTTTTGGATTTTATGCCGGTGTGCCTGCCACGTCGCCGGCAGCAGCACACACCTCGAGCAATGCGTTGTACCTCCCAGTGATCCTAAGCCACTCTCACCCAAGTGCCGAAATCATGCGGAGCACACGGCATGGTTCGGCAACACCCCCAGCCGAGACATCTGCCGCACATAAGCCTTCGTAGCCCGCTCAAGTTTGGGCACCGCATGTTGCGTTTTCGGCGAAAGACTATAAATACATATAAACACTAAGCACATCTAAGCACGTAGCTTCGGCCCGCTGCACGTCCGCTCTGCGTTCACACGAGCGGATTGCTGACGAAAGCGTGTACTCGTCAGGCCTGGGTTTCTCCAGGACTCGGACACGACTGGCTTGCCACAGAGTGAACTTAGTGGAGTGAGCCGAGCGGAGCACAGGCACGCGTTCGTGCTCATTGTCTCCAGCACCTGGTGTGGGGACTGTGTGGGGCCCTTGACCAAGCCTCAAGATGCCCCCCTCCCTACGGCTTCCATGGCATGAGAAGCTTCGACTCCTATATGCCCCGTTTAGCGAGCTCGTTGCAAAGAACTCCACAAAATTCTGTGGGCTGTATAGCCCGAAGTTATGACTTCAAACTGCTCCAATACCTACCAAGCCACACCTCGTCCACGGAATCCACTGCACCGCATACAGCGTAGACATTCATCATGATGTTGTAAGCCTCACTCAAGCCGGCACAAACTCGGTACCCTGCAGATTTTGCTTGCACAACGTGCTAAGCTTGCACTGCTTCCGGGAGATTCGCATTACAAGAAGGGCAAGAGTCCAAGATTGAGCAAACCGACTCCGTCGCTTCCGTGTCCAGCCTGCAGGTCGTGCTTGAAGCCAGCAGCCTCCATGTCTGCGAACCACATCTCCGCCCTCTCAGCATCTCCAGCCTCTGCTTGCAGACAAATGCCACTGTCTGGTGGCTGGTGGCTGTGGCTGTGCAGGAAGGAAGCAGCATACTATTCACACCACGTGCCTGAGCGCACTGGTGGAGCTTGTCAGTGTACCTGGCTCGGGCAAGTCCAGAACAACCACACTGTGAGTTGATAACGAGAGGGCAGCACTCGGAGCGGTTCGAGAATGGATAGTGAAGAGTTGCAGAGCCGCCTTCAAGCAGCACACTGCAGCAGGACAGTGTGCGTTGGCCGCGACCAAAGCAGTTGCGATTGCATCCCCGCAGCGCAGAATCTTGCCTCTGGCTCGAGATTGCAAAGCAGCCTGCAAGCATGTGGGTTCCAGATCACCACAGAGGGCGGGATGGACGACGGGAGGGGGAGCGAGGGGGGCGACAGCGCCTGTGGTATGGGCGAAGACGGGCAGCCGCCACCTTGTCAGGGGCCATGCATGTGATAGTCGGCAGCATTCACGACGAGCTGATAGAGCAAGGCAGGAAAAAGGCTAGCAACGTCGGCTATTATGCGAACTCTTTTTTCCACCCGATGCACACCCACGTCGCTGCATCAACCGTCTCGCGAATCGCCAAAGGTTTCGTCATCAGCACCCATGACCTGACTACACCGAGCTCGTACTGGTGCAACTCGAACCGTGAAAGCTAGTCGAGCACTGAGCCACACGAGTCCCCTGTGATTTCCCTTTGCATACATTCAGTAGAACCCGTATGAAAACACCTCAGATCGGTGCAGCCGATGGCTTGTCATCCCGCTTCTTCTTGCTGATGCCGGAGATGATGTCGTCGATACCTGGCGAGTAGCGAACTTCCAAAAACTCGCATGATAGCCTCGACCTGCTGTGCCCCTCCGCGATCATATCCTGTCCATTCCCTGAGCTAGACGATTGAACAAATCTGTGTGCCGTGTTTGCCCTGACCAGCTTCTAGCCATGAGTGTGAAAGACTTTAGTTGGCCTGCTTTCGCGACCGCACCGGCATTTACCGGCCATCATTCCTTCCTCTGACTACATGGCCGTCCCTTCCCCAAGTCGGAAGCATTGCGGCGCACGTAACAGCATCGCTGCCGCTTCAATAGACGTCCTGCAGCGAAATGGTCGACCGACCACAAAGCTGCTTCGGGTAAATGTCCTCAGCGTCTGCTGCTTGACGGCGAAGGTGTCAAAGATGCTGAGCACCTCTACACAGTAGCTCAGAGCAGACGTTGATTGCTTTAAGCCACACATGGGTGCAGGATAGAGTGTCACTCGACAAACCACTTGGGAAGGAACGCGACTAAGCCGCAAAGACCCGCACCTTCACGTCAGCGACCTTGCCCGTCTTTCCGTCTATGCCGATGTGGGCATTTCCTAGCCAGGCGTGTGCGATCTGACGCGACGTTGGGATATCCCAAAGTCTTTGACCTGTCTCGTACTGTCCAGACCTGTCGCAGCATGTCGGGCTCGCAAGTCTGTCATCGCCCGCACCACATCAGCACCTGATCACAGTCTGCTCACTTAGTCACCTAGAGTCCTAGAGCAGAAAAATGCTTTCAAGCTGAGTCTGCAAATCCTGTCTTGCTCAGAAACTGCTCTCTGCTCTCCGTGGGCACAGTGGACTGCATTTGCCGAAACAGAAAACCGACCCTTGTCTGACTTTGGGCCGAGACCAGTTCACTGAGATCTGCACCGCAGTTGTGTGCCAAACTGCGAGGGATTACCTCCAGGGCTTCGCCAACGGCCTTGTAGGCATACCTCGTTGTGCATTAGGCTTGGCTTGGGCCGTCAGTTTCACTGCTCGGGCGGTCCACAGCCCCTTCGAAACGCAATGAATGTGGCGGCCCGGCGCACTGGCGGCTACCCTCGATGCTCTTTGATTTCTCCTTCCTGGGTCCGAAGGTTTCGACATCAGAACAACTCGAAACGACAGACGGTGATTTCGCAGTGCTCTGAGGCACTGGCAGCCTCGCTGCCAATTCCATCTCTACGGCTCCGCCACCGGGCAAGAGCAACCTGGCCGGCTTCTCTTCGGAAGGATTCCTGAATGATTCTTGCAGAAATCCCTTGCATCGCACAGCTGCACTCGAATCCAGCCAGCATCGCGGTTCGAGGATGATGTTGCGAGCTACGGCAAAGGCATCCTGACAAGCTGTCCAAGGCAATCCGCTCTCACGGAATCTTGACAGGGGGTGCAACTCCAGCGAGCATGGCTGCGTCAGCCTACTGCTGGTAAGGTGGGTGCAATTAGATTTTGGTTTAGGGCTTAAAGCGGTTGAAGATTTAGCACTTCATGGGGTTCTTGATTGGGGCGAGCAGTTAGTGCCGCCAGATGCTCTGTTGCAGTGCGTGCGTCGAAACTGCTTGAGTTGTTCGCGAGTTTTGGGCCTAGGGCCGTTCTCTTCTCAGGCCGGCGGCAAAGATTTAGCGTTGCCCTTCGTCGTAATCGCACAAGGCCTATTCCGTATTCTGGCTGTCACGGTTGCAAGTCGGGTGCTACCACCGGTCATGACTGCCCGAATTCTAGTTGATAGCTTCTGATCCTATTCGGCAAGACTGAGGTGTTGTCAAAACAGAAGCGGCACTAGGAGTGCAATCTTGTGGTTTCCAGGTCCGTGAGTCCATAAAGTGCCACCGTGTCCATCATCAGCTTTGCAAATTTCTTCAAAAGGATTTAGACAACAGGGCAACGACACATGGATACCTCCTCTTCAACAGAGTTTGGAGCTTTCCGCCTTGCTATTTCCTTTGCACAAGCAGCCTTAGCTGCAATGCTTCGTAAGAGCAATTGTGTTCAGTCGACAGGTCACTGCCTCAGAAGCTGTGCGCAAGAAACATCATTGCGAGGCATTGAATCTTTGCGGGAGTTCTCTTACACCCGGGACCGCGATCCTGATACATGAATGCAACACGAATCCAAACATGCCCGTCAGCAGCCTATCAGCAAGACTCAAGACTCTGCCAGGATGGAATAAGGCTCACCTGCAGGTTCCTCTCGATTTCGTTGAGGACGTCCCTTGTGGCACCACGCAGGACGATTGTACCTGACAGCAATTGCGGCGGTTGAGAGCATGGAGATGCGGACCCTCTTTGCTAACCAAGGTCAGCGCAGGCTTTGGGATCCTCAAGCACGGGTCACAGGACGATGGTACAAACACTTCACATTTTTGGCTTGCTGTCCTGGCACTCTGTCAAGTAGGTGAAGTACTCTTCCCCAACCTTGCTGACCTTGAATCGCCCACACCTTGGGACATCTCGACCGAGGCTGAATCAAACTCTGGAGCAGCTGAGAACTCGACTTTGTTCCAACCATGGACTCCTGCAGCTCCTGGCAAAGGGCTTCGAAGTGTCAGAATCGCTAGCAGCCATCACGAAGCGTCTCCTCCGTTCGGTTGCAGATATGGGCCCCGGTGACTCTGGCCTGAAGTGGCAATGGAGGAGCAGCAAACTCTGGAGCTTTCTCCAGCTGTCCAACCGAGAGCCTAACGATCCGAAGGTTGTCTGTCTTTCGAATCCGGCGAATCACGGACACCCCGCCCTGGCAATAATAACTCGTGACATATCTCAGACGGGTTGCTTGGCAAGATGCTGCTCTACATCCATTATGTAGGGTCGATCAGGGTCGCATTCCAGTTTGAGTGGCTTCTGCTGGGGCACGCGGGATTGTCCGACCGTACCCACCTTCATGAGGAAGTGCTGTGCCAGATCCTTATGACATATACATGCCACATGCCACGAGCTGTGACTTGTTGTGTAGCCGTCTCAGACAGTGGGCTGAAACACCCTTCTCAGTGATGACCAGGTCTGGCTTAACCTTGAGGATGTCATCGCAGACTCTCCTCATTTCTTCCTGCACCGGAAGGAGGACGGGCGGAAGGACAAGGGAGAGCGGGCAGCGGCTGGGCAGCGGCTGGGCAGCGCGTGCAAGAGCCTCTTCTTGCTGCAGCAGCTTCTCCCAATCTGCTTCTTTCGTGATCTCCACGTTCGTCTGACCTAGCAATCCCCACGCAGCCATGGATCGTATGGATCTCAGTGCTAGTCCAAAGCAGACCACGTGGCACAAGCTGGTGGCCATAGGGCCTCCTGTCTGCCTCCTACTTCAGGTCACATACTTCAAACTCCAACCGTCAAGACGATCCGATCAGCACGGCGAGCTTTGACACTCCACAAGCCCAGAGTTGGTTTATGAATGCATTTCTTGCTGGCACGTTGCTCTCACCCTTCTTGTACTCAAGTGGGCAATCCAGCAGCACGACCTTAGTCACGAGCTCTCCTGCCTGCGCTGTCGCGAAGACTACTTGCAGCAGTGGTTTTGCCGTCGAGAAGCACGCGGATTCCTAATTTCACGTCTCATCCGCGGGTGCGTAATGTCTTTGTTGAACATCACACCATCGAGCACCTTGCAGCTGCATAGTCTGCTGAAGGATGCAAGCACGTCTTGGCAAGTCTCAAGCCGCACAGAGCCTGACAGTCGGTGAGCTCACCGCCCTGAATCTTCTCAACTTTTGCGAATCGCTTGACATCGATTTCCTGACCCGGGCTCAGATACGGCTCAAATAGCCCAGGTGACCCTGTCAGTGTCCTTGCGGCCGTCAGGCTTGACGATGCAAACCGTCTTGACTGCCTTTATGGCCAAGTCAGAGATCAAAGTGCCGAACCTGGACGCTGTCATCAGATCTTGCTCTTACAGACAAACCACAGCTGCAAATGAACCGGCGCGTCTTAGAAAGCAACCTGCTCGCAAATTTTGTGTCGATCGACCCGCGTACAATTTCCCGCAGGGCCTGCCGGCAAGGACGACCATGACTTGAGCAGATGCGCTGAAACCCAAGAGAGATGTCGCATGAGACCTCCGGATGCTCGAGGTCTACTGGATACCTCTGGAACAACCATACCACGTCAAGGCGTATTCAAAAACCTGCACAAGGTGGCGCACGCGAGCTCCTTCAGCAAAGTCTGTGCATCTTCTAGGGCCTTCATGTAGCCTGACCTGAGCACATGTCCACAGCATCGGAGCTCTCGGCAGTGTCATTGCCAAATTCAGGCCCGCGGCACAATGAGAGTTGGGTGCAGTTTCTTTTCAATGAGTGGCTCTGCCACTCCCAAAAGCTCCCTGGCAGCCGCGGAAGGGGGCTGGGGCTGGGAAAGCCACGGTGTTGTTGGATCCCTGCAGGGTCCCGGGCCCGGCAAGGATAATGACCGAGGTCGTGCCATCACCGACTTCCTCGTCCTGCGCTCGGCTCAGCCTGGCACAGAGAGCAGAGACTCAGAGAGCTTCAGCTCTCCAGCTGTAAAACTGTAGCCACACTCTTGGCCACCGGCTCGATCATGTTCTTGGCTGCTGGGTGCGAGACATCCACCTCAAAAAAGGTTTCAAAGAGCTTGGGCAGAGAGGATGTCTTGCCCTGCCTCTCGCAAGATAGCATTGCCATCGTTAGTCATCACAATGCCGCCCATGGGATCCAGCCTCGGGTTCACGAGTTTCAATCCACTGCTGCAGACTTGTTGATACAACGCTGCACTCTCTCACATTTTCCTCTCTGTACATGCTCAGCATCGCTTGCCGGCAGTGTCGTAGGCCCACGAGGGTCCCAAGTTCGGCAATAGGCAGCAACCTACTGGGGCTGCCGAAAATTCTGGTTGCCACGACATGAAAGCGTCTAGGAAATCCAGCTGAAAATCAGCAGTGGCATCGCTGAGCCAACTGTATCCTGACATGAACCGCCGGCTTCCATGCTGGGTTGTCTGTGCTCGCCATGAAAGGCGTGGTGCTGCGATCTGCGCTTACGCTGCTAGCGTAGGTTCCATGGGAGATTGTCCAGGCCGAGTTCCAAAGCGTTTGTAGCTTCTGGTGTGGCCACATCGATGACACTTCCACCAGCTAGCTGATGAGCGGCCATGCCATTCGATCTCCCGGACAGTGCGTCGTCTGGGCAAACCTTCTCAATGAATGATACTGGTTCCCATACTTGTCAAGCATGTCGTCGTGGAACTGATGATACTTCTCAGCCTGGCAACAGGATTGAATGAGAGCAAGCAAATGTCTGGAAAAGTGAAATTCAACATCTTGACAGACACTGCACTCTGTCCATTCGAACAGCAAACCTGTTGATTCTGAATTGCTCGTGTTCGTCCATTGATTTCCTCTTCCTACTCAACGGTGCATCACAGGATCCAAAAGCCGTAATCTTGGCAGAAGGCTACATGCGCCGGAAACTGCGCTGTGTCATAGACCAGCACCGTTCCAGTTCCGAGAGTGTCTCCGTCATCTCCTGCGCTGCAAGAGATGAGACCAACCGCACTCGTTCGGGACCCAGCGGTTGACATGCGTCGACATGTACGTCATGATTCTCCCATAAATCCTGGCAAACACACGGAACAGCCCAGACAGGTCCTGGGGGAGCCGTGGACAAGGGGGGGAGCGCGGCATCCTGCGCGGGCGGTGCGCGAGGGAGGCGTGGACAGGGGGGAGCGCGACGCGATATCGGGTGGGCATCAGTCTCTTTCGTTGGGTTTTTGGGTTCACGGCTTGACATTGCTTGCTTTTCCTGTGTAGCGGGGGCTGGTCTCTTGGCTATTGGTGTTCAAACACTTTGCCAATGCTCCCGTGGAAGGGATTGCAAGATGTTTTTGGATTAGTCCAGCATTGCTTCGCAAGACGACATTTGGCAGTTTTGGTGTCGCTGATGACAACAGCTGTCGTCTTGTCTGCTGTGCAAAGGAGCGCACAGGCAACGCAGCAACAATTCCAAAATCGACGGCTGACATGGCACGAAGGAGGCAGGAGCTCGGAGTGCTGGTCTCCTTTACCAGCCACAAGCCTCGTGTTCCCAGCTTTGGCTCGAACTTGCGATAGTAAAGGAGACGTCATTCCACCAGGGAGTCCGATAACCTGGCCAAAAGGTACAGTCTACCTTTACCTTGACAATCTGTTGATCTTCCTCTGTAGTGAGGCACATGCATGGACCTGCGGCCTGTAGTCGTCCAAGAAGATTTCTGTGTACAACATCAGAGCCACGAAGCTGTCAGAACCGCAACAGGCCCGCTGCATGGGCCCATCGCAAACCCACGGCAAAACAATGCAATTCCGAGAATGATCACTACAGATACAAGAGCAAGCAGCACCACCATCAGCAAACACAAACACCACATAAGTCACTTATCGAGTCCATGTCGCGGGTACTGTGAAACATGAAGTACAACGAACAAAAGAAGACAAGCAAACGCACTTACGATGAAATCAATGCATGCAATCCCAAACAGAATAAAGGTGTGGATCGAAACATTGATCGAAACTGTCATCACACCATCCAGAAGCATCATTGAATACTTGACCTGCTGTGTGCCGCCCTTCGGGTCAACTTGGAGAGAGCAAAACCGTCATCTACGCCGTCAGATGCAAACCATCCTGAAGCCCGCGAGAACTACAACAGGAATGGCAACAAATCCCGTCACGGTCTAGTCCCACTGCCAGGCCGGACGGCTTTCACTCATTGAATGCATCCTGGAAGCTGATCTATACTCGCCACCCATATCTTGGACGTCTCTTCTTGCTCCAGCAGGGCATGCTTCAAAAAATCTCCCAGCAAAGCTTTCGAAATCAGCTTCGGGCCTTGTGCTTGCTCTCACAAGGCAGTCCAAAACTGCGAAGACATGATAGGCCCGAGGGACACCGTCATTTCCACCACCTCTGCATGCCCGAGCTGGCCGTAGTCTGCCTGCACACGTGAGACAACCGACAGCGATGGCTTTTCAGTTCTTCTGCATCTCCCGCCTTGCCCTCCATGTTGTGATAGCAAACCAGGCCACCTTCTCCAACTTTAGTTCCGCCAGCATATGCCACTCTAGAAGTGAGGTTGCCTCCATCGAATCTCTCTGCAAGACATCTGCCGCATGCAGCCGATGCGAAACGAGGCACTCCCAACAACAATTCTGCATCCGGGCCGTCTTTGCGGCAAAGCTTTGTCATTTCTTCGGCCCTTGGCACTCTCGCAATTAAGTCCGGCGCAAAGCAGCCAGGCGCAATGCAACACAGCATGTGCAGTTGAGCTCACGGCACAAACTCATGCTGCATGTGCCAAAAACATCCACATCCAAAATAGACTTGGACCATCTTGCCACTACCTGGGGTGAAGGAAGATGCAGCCGCTAAAAAGCAAACAGTCTTGCACCCGGCAATTTTGCTGTTGCGTCATGGGTGCTTGGCTTGGACTCGGATAGGGTGCAGGCTGCTGGCATGTCCACTGCTGCCTCTGCACAGCCATTCAACAGCACAGGCAGCAGCCTCGGCAAAGTCAGCAGCTGGATTTGTCCAGAAAAGATGCACTCACGTCACAGGTGTCTTCCTCTGTCCGAGCAGCACCGCCAAGCCCCGTAGACAGGTTGAAGGAACCCGGAGACGGGCTTGCGCCATGCTCAAGTCAAGACAGCACAACTCTTGCTTGAGCTGGAAACGATCAGAGATCGGAATTACAGATTCAATACAGTATGGAGCATCAAAGGTCACTTACCAGGCACCCGGCAGCATCTTCAACATGGCTCTTGGCCCAAGCGTTGTTCGCACAATGCCGGCCACTGTCTTCCCTGCCTCCGCAGAAACGAACTGAAAAAAAGTAAAATCTTCTAAACACAATGCAATCAATGCAATCGCCACCTGGATGTTTGTCAGCTGTGCCTTGCGCCCCTCACAAACGGACAAGTTCTGCTAACCCGCGCTCGTGTCTTTCGTACCGAAGAGTCTGCGCCTGGTCCCGCTTGGCGTTTTTGTTGATGACAAAGACGCCTTGCCCCCCTCCTCGTGTCAGCTCCGTGCCAGAAGGCTTCGACGTTGCTATCACAGCTCCTCCTGGCATTGCACCTGGAGGCATCATCTTTGCGGCCGGCCTCGGCAGAACAAAAGATTGCAGCCGAGCATTCTGCCCCTGGTAGCCGAGCATTCTTGACGTCCGAGCACTTCGCAGGTTGCACTGGAGGAGCGGAGAGCGGGCACTTGCACTACGAGCCGAAAACGTAATCAAAACACTGTGCTTTGATGCAGCTTGATATGTCCAACAGGCTGGACATGGAACATGCTCGCAACCTCCCCTGCAAGCCTCTAGGAAAGGCCACGACCAAGCATCGGGCGCGCATGGCAGTTCCGGATTCTTGTTCTTTGGACACTTCAGTGATGCATTGAGTTCGGTGTGTGGTTCAAGCATGCCGATGATTCCGGCAGATCATCCGTCATCTAGCAATGAAGTTCCTCACAACATGAGCCTGAGCTGAACCCGAGCGCGAGCACGCTGGAAATCGCTTGGGTGTTGGATCGTTGCCCGTTCAGAGATATAGTGCACACGTGAAATCTTCTCTCCGCCATTTTCTCCCTCGAGATTGCCCACACTTTGGCAGGACTTGCACCACATGCTGAGCGTAGGCACCCTGTTGGCACCAAAATGCCAGCGTCCTACATCATCTGCTCCCTGAGCAGCAACCAGAACGTGTGCCGCGGTGCTGTCGTGACACTGTAGCGTCAGTGACAGAAAGCCATCCGAGATCCGGGCTGAGCCGGCGCTCTGCTCGGGCCCTGCGCGACTCGACAAAGTTCTTCGGCTCTCTTCCCTGCACTTGCCTTGCACTGCCTGCGCATCCTCCATGGTGCAGGGCGCCGGATTGTAACCGCCTTTCATCTTCCTCAACACTTTGTTAATTGATTCTCTGGCATGTCTGACTGCATCACCTGGGCCGCCAACAGCACCTGCTGCCCTGCCTGACCAGGGTATCTAGCATTACCGCCGGCGACAGCAGTGCTCGGCTGCTTGCGGCGTGCGCAAACCCCGTCAGGCAGCTGAAGCAACGACACCGGCAAATAGGCTAACGCGTTAGTCGTTTGTTGGTAGTCCTTGGTGCTTGTGGACGTTGGCTTTGAATAGAAATCGAAGCTGAGAATATCGGTCTCGGTGCACCAAATGCTTTTTGCGAATGTTCGTGAATGCAGCAAAGCCTTCATGGAAAAAGTTGCATGCAACAGCATCTTGCAAGCCGAACCACTACAGCAGGAAGGCCCTTTCCCCAAAGATTTGCCTGCATCTGTTTCTTCAGGTTCTCGACGAAGAGCATCTGAGTTTTCAGGAACTCCACCTTGTCCTCGTCGGAAAGACGCTTCACCCACGCCAGCCTGGCCACGCCAAACAAGATACAGTGTAACGAACATCAAATGGCCAGAAGCAGAAATAATCAGAGATGGAAAGGCTAAGCGACGAGATTCGAGCGAGACAGTCGAAGCAAATCAACTTCCAGGCTAACGACGGGTTTGCCAAATTCTGCGGGAAAGTGCAGTGCCCCTCTGGATCCTAGCGCCAACTGCACCCGGCCGGGCACACGACCGAAAGCTTCGGCAGTCGCACTTATGCGACTGCCCGGCGCACTCTCGGCGCCGTCTACCAGTTTACCACACTACCAGATCAAGAAACCGCCCCGGAAAACGATGGCAGGCGAAGCCGGCGTGGACCCTCGCCCAACCCTCAATCAGCCCAGGCGTGGGGGCGTCGCCCCGAGAGATAGCGTCTTGTTTCAGTTCGTTGTTTCGCATCTGCCGAGTCAGCCGTCTTCCGGGCGATTGTGACCTTGTCACCCTCTTGCTTGCTTGCGAAGGGGTATGGGTGCAAGCAATCCGGCCCGCAGGCCAACCCCCCCACGGCTCACAACAGTCCGAAGTCTGTCAGGCCCCTTGCGGGGATGAGAGATGGGCTCGTTCCCCCACCTGTGCTTGCGTACCCTTCCCCGAAAGCACCCCCTGCTAAGACCATTACCATTGCAGACCTGTAAGCACCAGGTGGGTCATCCGAGGTCTCTCCGGATACAGCTACGCAAAGGTGGCCTGTTGCCGGGACAGTGTACTGGCACAACAGCTTTGTCATCCAAACCGCATACCATACTAGGCTAGCATCGCTTGTCCCTTCCTTCGCTGCTCTAAGGAGCTCCACCCGCCAGGCCCTCGCTGTGGGTTCTGTACCCCCACGGGGCAAGCATACTGTGTTATTTAACCCAACCACACCTGCCTCCCCACCTGATCCCGAACAGAACCTTGCGCAACATTGCCTGCACCTTCCCGTCAGGCCCTTACCGGCCCCCACGAACAGCAGCTGAGTGCACAAGCAACACGTACTAATCATGCGGACCATCATACCCCGCTTTGCGAAAGGTTACATCCCCCAGCTCCCCGACTTCCATGTGGCACCTTCTACTGCGAGCGGAACCCCCTAGAACAGGACAGACACCGCGGCCTAGACGTCTTGGTCAAGGGAGCTAGGGTTCGTGAAGCTGCGTCTACGTTCTCCCCACTCAGGCGTTGGTCCATCAGGCGGGCTCTCGGCTGATCGGGTATTCTCCCTCGAAGCACTGGCCGCCGTGTTCCCCCCGAGCTCGATGTCGTTCGCGTGGCCGAAGGAGTGGGGGTGGGTCATGTAGAGCATGCCCAGGTCGTTTTTCCGCCAGCTCCACTTCTTCCCCCCAGTGCTGCACCGTCCACGTGACCAGCTTTTGTAGGGCCAGCTCCACCTCGTGCTGCACTTCCCCTACCAGGAAGGTGCTCAAACGGCGGAGACTTGCTTTGGCTGCGTAGGTCGGCTCCCCTCAGGGTGTCTGCCTCCTCCCCCCCCGCTTGGAGCCCGATGACATCGGCCGGGTGTGTTGGCTTCCCCGGTAGGTCGGCCCGCTTCGGAATGGGTATTCCGCCACCAGGACTGCAACCCCTTTTGCTGCTTCGTCCAGCAGGTTCCGAAGGGTGGCGAGGTCGCCCCTCCCCCCTGTGGACTCCATTGTGGTGATGAGCGTGCTCCTCCGCCGCATCCTCTGCTCAGTGGGTCTGCTGCCAGTTGTGGCTTCTTTTAGCCCCCTGCGGTAATGCTGCTCCAGGATTTCGAGGAGTTCCCCTGTTGTGGGGGCTGTTGGGGCTTCGTCCATGACCCCCTGCCACCAATCGCCCCCTCTAGTGTTCTCTCCCCGGGTTGGTCAAGCTGGAACCACGGCCACTACCCAACACCCACTACATTCGGGTCGGGGGGATGCTGCCGAGATGGCAAACCAAGCTGGGGGCTCTCCCAATGCCCAAGCAGTCGCGGGGCACAGCGGCGGCACACGCACCAACCCAGCCACTACGGCAGCCGGCCTGACCCGAGTCCTTATGCATGTGGTGCGCGAAAAGGCAAGGGGGACAGGCATCGCAGTTGAGCTGGGGGAGCTCCAGTTGCTCTCGCAAGAACTGGCAGAACCCCAAAGGGAACCGGGGCTGAGTGCAGCAGGCCCCACGAGGACGGACGAACAGTCCCAAGAAACCACGGTACCGTGGCGAGCAGCAACAATGCACTGCCCACAACCTGGCACCCCAGAGGAACACAGAGGGGAGGCACAGGGGGAGGGGGGCAGGGGCAGGACCCCAAGTCCACTCAGCAGAGCGCAGGCACAGGGTGCAGTTAGCAATGAAACTGAGCTGCAGCCGACCAAGCGATGGCAGACCCGGCAGCGGGGAATGAGCCCCAGAGCGACCAGCGGGGACAAGCAAGGAGGGGGCAACAACCACTAGCACCGATGGCGGAGGACGTTGAAAGGGTGGAGGCCGTAGAGCTGCACAACACAGAAGCCATGCAGCTAGCGGAGGCCATGGGGCTGGACGCGGCCTCCAACCACCTTGCAGCGGCACTGACGCTTGCGAGCTGCTGCTTGCCTCGCCCCTTTCATCCCCCCGGTGGGCTGGGCTGTGGCTCCTTCTCTCCTCCTGTGTGGGGCTCTCCACGTCTCCGCGGTCTCTGCTGCAGCTTCTCTGTGCTGTCTGTTGTTGGCGGGGTCTCCGGCTAAGCACGTCCTCCCCTTCCCCCCCTCAGTGGCTGCTGGACGAGGGAGCTCGGGTCGTCCTCTGGTGGTGCCTCATCCAGGCTTTGCTTTGGGTGGGGGTTGCCGGAGGTGTCCTCTCTGCTGTCGGCTGAAAGAAGCTTGTCCTGGCTGCCGTGGAGTAGAAGGAGAAGCTTCCTCCGCTTGCCACCCCCTGTTCCCCCTCCCTGCGCCGTCTGGTGGCCCACTGTCCCCCCTGCCGGGGTTGGGTGCTGTGGTTGAATTGGTTGAGTTGGTGGTTGTGTTTGGGGCCGGCTCCGGCAGTGTGTGGCTGCTTGACGCTGTCGGGTCGGTTGTGCTGTCGGGGCCCCCCTGTTGTGGTGGGTGTCCTCCGGCGGGGGCAGCGGTTGTGTCGCCCTGGCGATGTCCCGCAGCTCGGCAACGTAGTGGGCTCGCGGTACCGGCATCTGGGTAATGGCGCGGGCCCCCCCGATCTTAGCGATCACCTGTGGTGCAAGCCCCAATTGGTCAATCTCCGCATCCTGCTGTGTGCACTCACGTCGGGGAGTCTGTTCTTCCCCCCTACCGCCTCGTCTCGCAGGTTTTCCCCCGCGTCGGGCGCCACTCATGTGTATGCCCCAGTTACTGCTGTCTTGTTGCTAGCTGAGTATATAATAACCGGGCTGAGTGTTGTGGCTCCGTTTTCCCCCTCATTGGGCCTCGGGGTCCTGCGTACTCGCATGAGCCATTGCATAGGCTCGCCTCGCTGCAGGACCCTTGCAAAGCCACGTAGGGTCACTCTCCCATACCTCAGCCCAATGTCCGCCCCCTTTGGCAAAACTTCGCCAACCCAGGCCCCCAAAATCAGGTACGTACCGGCAGAGAGGGGAAGCTGGGGTGGCCATGTGATTGGCGGCAGGTATCCCCCCAGGCTCACGAAGAAGGCATTCCACCTCCCCTTCCACTCCACCACCTGGTCCAGTGGGAAGTCGCTCCACCGTTGTGGCCCTCCAGAGCTTGCCTTTCCTGGCTGGGTGTCCGTCCCCCTCCGCCTCCCTGGCGTTCTCAGGGGGCCGTCTGCCTTTGCCAGCAGCTGCTGGAAATTTTTTTTGTCTGCCTCGTAGCGCTCCCGTGCGTCCTGTGCAGCTTTGGAGTCCGGTGCTGGCTCATGGGTTGGTGCGGCTGTCCCCTGCGAGTGGGCGCCTGTGGGCGTGGTCCCCCCGCCGTCGGTGCTGCCTGCTGTGGTGCTGGCCTCCCCTGCTTCGGCGTCAAAGAGTGCCATCCCCACCCAATGCACTACTTCATTCCACGAAAGTCCGTCGGGTTTGTGGAGCTGGGCTTGCCCCCCACATTGTTGCTCCCCCCCGTCGTCATCTGCTGGTCCTGCTGGTTCTTGCTGTTGCTGCGTGCAGGTTTCTTCCAGGAAACCGTCTGGTGGGATGTCCGGTTGGCTCCCCGTGGCTTGATGTTGTGGTGGTTGGGAGCTTCCTCCGTCCTGCTGTGGGGTGGCGTGCGCTGCTGCCTCCCCCGGTGCTCTGCCCCCTCGTCGCCTTGGCTTGGTGTCGCCGTCCATGGTGCTTGGGCTGTGCTGGCTGCCTGCGGGCACAGTGCTTGGGTCCGAGGCAAATGTGACCTTCCGTGCTTGGTGGTCTGTGTTTGGGGCCTGCGAGCTTCCCCCCCAATACTTGTCCCACGGGGATGGTCTGTGTTCATGGTACGACGGGCTCCACCCTCGTGGGTGTGGTGGCGCTTGCTGCTTGGCTCGGCCCTGTGGCGGCACCGCCCGTGGTGTGGCCGCGTATTGGAGCATTTGCTGTTGCTGTTGGTACCAGTAGAGGGCCGCCGGTGGGAGTGTATGGGGGTCCATAGGCGGGGGTCCCGCGTATGCCTGGTGCGGCTGCCCCCCGTGTGCCCCCACCTGCTGGTACCGCTGTGCGTGTCCCACTGGTTGTGCCGCCGGTGGTTGTTGGTGTGGCCCCCCACCTGCTTGTTGCTGCGCCGGTGGCTTCTGAAGTGGGAAGGTGGGCTTGCGCGCTGCTTGGGTCGAGCTCCCCTTGGCTGCCCCCCTGCTGCTGTCTCTTCCTCGCTTGGTACATGCCAGGGTCGTACTCGGGCACGTACGGTGCTGGGTACCGGGCTTCGTGCAGTGCCCATTGGCTGCCGCTGCTTGGGGCTTGTCTTTGTGGTGCCACGGGCGTCGGCTGTTGCTGGCCGTATGGCTGCGGTTGCACCCCGTGGCTCGCCTGTGCTGTCCCCGCTCCCCCGCTCTGCTGCGTTGTGGGCGGCGGCTGGCCGAATGCCCAGGTTGTCACCCTCTCTCTCTCTCTCTCTCTCTCTCTATCTATATCTATATCTCTATCTCTATCTCTATCTTTATCTCTATCTCTATCTCTATCTCTATCTTTATCTCTCTCTCTCTCTCTCTCCTGGGCTTGAGGGCCGGTCAAGGCCCCCGGGCTTCAAGCCCACCCGATAATTTTATCGGGATTAGAGGCGTGAGAAACGAGCGTAGGCTAAAACATCGGCTATAGCCATAAAGTATCTCTCTCTCTCTCTCTCTCTCCTGGGCTTGAGGGCGCGATCAACGCCCTCGGGCATCATGCCCCCCCGCCGTGTTGGCAGGTTTGAGGGGTGACGAACCATCGATAAACACGGTCCCGGCTAAAGCCATCAAATATAAGATATCTTCGACCGTGTTTTATTCGATCTCAACTCGACACATGCACCTCATTCCCCCGGTTCCCCGTGATGTACAACTTGAACAACTTTCCATAAAAACATGACACCAGGTGGGAAAGTCAGGGCTCAAAGGACCGTATTGTTTCGGCACGGCAACAAATCTTTCACGTTCAGTCAATGCAGGTCGGGCCCCAGACAGTCAAGTGTGAATCCTGAAAGAAAGATCCCCCGATCAACTGACATCGACTGACCGTCTTTAAGCGCAAGTGAAGTTCAACAAGCAACAAAGCAACCGTCACTCTCTCTCTCTCTCTCTCTGCTTTGCTCCGGGGTGTGAGCCACAGGCAATGCCTGTGGCCCACTCGTTAGAGCCACCCCATCCCTGATTTTCAATGGATGGGCTCGGCTGTATAAAGACGGGTGTTCCAGTGCTCTGTTCCCCCGTGTGGGGAGTGTGCTTGCTGGGACCGGTACAATAACAGAAGTTTGTAAAAGACTGCGTGTGCTCGAAAGGAAAAACATGCCTGAATTACCGGCAATGCAAGTCTTATGCGTGCTACTGGCACACCATTCTGAGGTACAAGGAAGTTATGAGCGGGTGCCCCTCAACACAAATTAAAGGAATTGGGAGTAGGTTGGCTTCAGAAAGACACGTGTTCTTTTCTCACCCGTGGCAGTAGGGTGGTGCGCGGATCGGGGGGTTTCCCGGTTTGCAAAAGTGTACGTTCAGGTACTGGTCCAAAACTCGCAACCACGCGTGCACTGCCATGTTGTTTGTGCTCACTCTGGCCTTGTTCTGCCTTGTTCTTTGCGCCCGCTTGTCCATCCTGACAGCGGTCCGCATCATTTGCTGTGCAAGGCCCCCCGTTTGCCTGTTGCCACTCCGCTGCGTCTTCCTCGTTGTTCCCGGTACCCAGCCTGGTCTCTGAGCATCGACCACAAGGGGTTCTTGCTTGCACTGCGGTGGGGCTGCAGCGGTTTTCCTCTCCTTTGGGGTTGTTCCCCTCTGGGACTGCGTGTCCCCCTCGTAGTTCGTGGATCTCCTTCTCGGTGTCCCTGCCACTATGACGTTCATTCATTCCCGTGTTGGTGTCCCCCGTCCAGTCTCGGCGTCGTTTACGTGCCCTTGTCGCCTTCTTGGAAGTGGTGGACGGTCGCCGTCTGCATGTGCACGTAGATCAGCGGGTCTCCGATTTCCTCCTGGCACAGCGGGATCACCATGGGTTCCTCCTTGAGATGGCATGCTGCCTCCTCCTACTGCTGGACAGGGCCCTCGTGAGCCTAAACACGTCGGGGGGTGGCCTCAAGCCCCCCACCAGGTCCCCCAGTCGACAGCCGGGTTCCCACAAGGGTGAGAGACTTGAGCCAAAATGGCTACTCTCTCTCTCTCGCTCTGTTGCTTGCTTGCTTGCTTGCATGGCGTTGAGGGCGGGGCAACCTGCGCGCCAGTAGAGTGCTCAAGTTACAACTTGCACCGGTGAGGAGACCTCAGACCCCGCATGCTACTAACTGCTACACGGACTTGCGCTAGTTGTACACCTCACAAAAGTGAGGAGACCTCAGACCGTGCTCAGCAGGCAATGCCTGGACAGGACAATTTTTTTGTGTCCGTTGCACAAGGAGCACCATGAGGCGTTTTCAAATACCAGAGGGGCACGGACTAATTTGTTTGCGACTGCAGCCTGCACCAGTTTGCGAAGACCGGAGCGTGCCAAAAACGAGAATGTCACTAACCGGACATGAACCATGAACCGTCAGTGGAACCAATTCAAAAAAGAAAAAAGCATAATGTCTGCCAGCAAAAAGTGTTCCTCGGCATGCTGTGAGATGGCTCTCTCGCTCGTACTCACCATAACAGCATCAACGAGCCAACGTTAAGTTTCGGCGATTCTGGAATTGTTTTCTCGTTCTTGATAATTCTGTATCACCAAGACAACACCACCGAATCATGACATAGGGGCCCTCGTCGGAACACAATGAGCATGCAGCAACATCCACTCGAAATTCCGCGATGGCCGCCAAGAAGTTGCAGAGCATACCAGAAAACCAATAGGCCAATAAGAATCCATTTCTTGAGGATGAGCGCTGCCGGGACAGACCGGCAGCCGGCCAGTTTGCAGTGTTTTTTTTGCCGCGCCTTGCGAGACTTTGCATGGTGCCATCCACGGGCTTCTCCTCCCTCCCAATACAAAACGGGTTGAGCTTGTCTTTTTGGATCCCCCCCCACGGTGGAGGGCTACTAGAATCAAATAAACACGTTCGTAACTGGAGTAATCTCCAAACTTGGTTGCTGGCTAGCTATCTTGGCAAGCAACCTACATTGCCCCATGTTTGAACCGTGGTGCTTGGAGACTTGGAGATAGCGTCTGACAGGTTGGATGTTGACGGCACGCGTAGTCCACACCCGGTCAAATGCAAGGCCTCGGAATGCGGCGAGGATGCCGTTGACGGACCTGTCCCTGCAATAGCCCTTCATGAGAGAGCACTGGCTTGTTACGTCGAGCGGCGAGTAGGAGAAACTGGGCGAGGATCTCGAGGACGTGTATGAATAATCGTGGGGCCGTGAAGGGCTGCAGGTGCTCCGGTCTCGAGCCGGCCCGTTGCAAAGGGCACAAACCCCCCATCGCATTCCATTGTATTCGAGAGATCATGCCCGAACATGACCTGCTCCCAACCTTCCACCTACGCCTGCCGAACCGCATGTATCCGCATCGCGAGGAGGAGGAGGAGGAGGAGGAGGAGGAGGAGGAGGAGGAGGATAGTCCCGGCGAGGGTGGCGGGGGGACTTGCTGCTGCATTCTGAGCCGCCATCGTGCCGCATCTGGGCCCTGGTCCATGGTAACCTCACGAGGGCGTGCGGAAATGCTCACTGACGGCGGTGAAGGTAGCAACGTCTTGACGAAGACGCCAGTTCTCAGGCACGGGATTGCAACTTGGCGTCGCATGAACGCCTTGGTGAAGCGATTAAACTCCACAACGGGGCTTCCAGGTCATAGTCGCTCATGCAAAGTCGCAAGCCGCGACCTGGCGATGAACTTTCGGTGTCGCTTGCGTCTTCATCAATCTTCATTGGACGTCCCAAACTTCCTTCGTGGCCGCGGCGTGGACCTCCAAAGCCACATCGACATCGGCCAGCCGCCCAAGCGCGGCGTTGTCGAGGCGAGCATGATGTCGAATAGCTTTTTCGGCTCCGCCGCAGAAGCCTGCCCACAGAACGACCATGGCGATCCGCCACGTCGATCTCCTGCAGAGCCCGCGCCGCCGGTCGAGGATGTGCGCCGGACAAAGCCATGACGAGGCGACGAGAGGCGAAAGGAGGGCGCAAAGAAATCGTGAAACGATCGGGCCGAAGACTTCAGCAGTCGACTGCTGGAACTTGTTCCTACATGCACCTGTGCCTCACGCAATGATAAATCCAAAGTCTCTCTCAGGATCTCTCTCATATGCT